TCGTAAAGAACCTAGACCCATTGCTCTTAAAAGAAGTGGAACTGAAGAAATATATAATTCTGATCTAAATGAAAGAATTGATCTCAAATACACTTAATTATTATTATAATTATAATAAGATGAATAAAATGGATAAATACCTTAAATCTAAGTTTTAGACGAAAAAATTTCAGATCCTCTTGGATTAACTAAATCTCCTTAAGAAGAATTTAATCCTTTCTTTTATTTAGAAAAAATAGATTAATCTAAATTGACTACTTTAAAGAGTAATCCTGAATGGAAATTAGAAATAGGATTCAAAGAATATTATGAAAAATACGAATAAAAAATTAAGACTTTATTTGATTAGGTCAAAGTTAAAGAAAAAGAAGTACATGAAAAATAAGTTAAATAAGGAATTCATAATAGGCATTTTAAAGTTTAAAACTATTCGACCGATGATGCAAAATAATTTGATTCTAATCATAAACCAATATTAAAAGATGACGAAGGAAATAATAATCATTCTCATTAATAAGGCTAATAGTAATTCAATTAAAAACTGAAACCAGAATAAGTACTGTAAAAACACAAAGTTTAATAAAAAGATTAACATTAAATGGCATAAGGAGGAAACCAATAAATTAATTTTGATAGTATAACTAATTAAGGGGAAATTGTTAAAGAACTAAAATAACAATAGTAAGATTTACAGGAAAACTTGAAACATGGAATCAAAGTAAGTATTTCAACTCCTTAAATTAAATCTATTTAAGTTCCTCCACTTGCAAAGGCTGGCACCCAGAAAAAGTCTAAAAAAGTTGATCCTCAATTATTTGAAAAATTGTATAGATAAAATTTGAGAAGCAAAGTACTCTTTAACTCAGATCCTGACGTCTTTTTATCAGAAGTAAGTTATTATATTTAATTTTTAAGGCTGAATGTAATGCTGCATACAAATTGGCTGCTGCATTAGCAAATTATGATATTACAGATGAAAGATCATTAAAGTTCGCAGAAATCAAATGCAGATCAAAAGTCAAATTGCCAAGATTATAATGAACATATCAATTTACATAATAAGTTAACTTTATATTATTATACAATTAATTTCTTAAATTAAATTTCAATATTAATTTTAAGTTTCAATTTAAAAACTTAATCCTAGTTAATTTAACGTTAAATTACAAAAAGTCGTCAATTATGTACTAGAATACATTTAAATGTTAAAACATAAATTTAGCATTAAAGTTCTAGAACTATGAATTTATTAGATAATTATTTCAATTATAAAAAAGGTCTATTCCAGGAGAAATAAGTATATATATTTTCTTAAGCAGAATAAATCTCTTCAAGAAGTGAAATTTAAGTCAGAGTAATAATATATTTAAAAATCTTAAAGTGATTAAAAAATAAATATTTTTAATTGGCTAAAAAAAAATAGACAGATCTAAAGATTCTATAAGGTAAAAAATATAAAATATAATTCATCTATTAATCTAAATTGATAGCCATTTATTTAGAAAAATAATTTGTTTATAATTAAAATTCCTTAAAATAACTTTGAGATTATATAAAAAATGGTTTCAAGAATGATGGGAGAATAATAAATGTAATGAATTGGAATTATAACATATTAATTTATATTTAATTAATAAAAAAGATATAAAAGGAAACATAATGATAAAATATATATACATATAATAAACATTATTGTACATATCAATTTCTCAATTATCTTTTAATCTATTGCAGAGTTGGAATGTCCTACACATTTTTCCCATAGTACAATAAAGTAGGTTCAGAATTATTTATAAGATTTTTTATGTAATCTTAAAGTTATTATTTAGTAACATTTTAAATTAAGTTTTCATAGAGAGGAACAGCGTTTTATCCCATCAAAAATGTCTTGTATATATATTTAATAATTTACAGTTTTGATTTATTCTTCTAATCTATCTGCTTATCTTTCTAAATTCAAATTAATTAAAGTAATAGCTATGTTTCTACCTCTAAGAAATTCTTCATCACTTATTGGTTAACCCAACTTTTTAAATTCATCAATTAAACATGATTATAATTCCTATTTTGAAGTTGGAGGTCCTTAAACTCTCAATCCAAATATTCCAGCATCAGAAAATACTTAAGATACTCCTGATGCCTCTTCCACAGATTAAATGGTTTGCATTAAATTAAGAGTTGTTCTTGATCTCATTCCTTTACCAGGACCACCAGTTGACCAGGAACCTATGAGATACAATAAATACTTGAAGATCCTAAGATCTAGTTTAATATATGTTGAGTAGCCATAGTATCATCATTCCATTTACTACCTTTAAATAAAAGTGCAATATCAAGAGTATCGTTTTTTTCATCATTTAAAGCAAATGTTTATGATAAGAATTCTGGAGTTGTTTATTTCCTTAATTATCTCTAGAAAACTAAATTATTATTTTAACATTATTACATTATTAATGATTTACTAATTTTTTTTCTATATACTCTCTAAATTATTCATGACTCCATACTCCTGCATAACCAATTATCATATTTTAACTGGTAAGCATTTATTCTTAAAATCTTGCAAAGTCTTCCTATTTGGGCAATATTTATGCAGATGTTTTAGCATTTGCTAAAGGATGTTTACCAAAGGCCGCCTTTTTAATAGCTTCATCTACAGTCATCTAAATATACTTAAATAATACCCTTTCTTAAGGAATATTCATTGTATTAAATTAATCTCTAGTTTCTTTTGCTATTCTTTTAGTAGTCAAAGCAAGCTTTAATAATACATCTACAATCATATCAAAATCTTCTTATATGAATTAACATTTCCAATAAGATAATTCTGAGTCATAAGTTTAATCCAGCATGCATCCTGTTCTAAGTGTTTATTCACTAAATAGCTTATTAACTTACAAATTATCCAAACAATCATTCTCAGATATATGATACATGTGCTAGTTAAGACTAAATAAAGAGCCTGTTTCTGAAGGCAATTCATTTCTTAACCCTGCTTTAAAACAAATACCAATATCAGAAGCAAAAGGAAAACCAGTTTATTCTGTAAATATTTTTATTCCAGAAGGTAATTCACTTATCTTTAAAATAGGCTGTTTATCTTTGATGAATTTCATAGATTTTACTGTTGAAAACCCTCTTAGAATTTTATTCATAAATAAATTTGTTTATTTTATTATTATAATATTTTCATTGTGCTAAGCCTAATTCAAATCATTTGTTATAATACAATCTAATTATTCTTTTAATTAAGTATTTAATTCTTTAAGCTTCAATTTCATTTAAATAAACAACTTAGAAAAAGTATCTATATTATATAAAAGATTGTTTTTAATATTCATTTTATATCTAAAATCTAAGCTTTGAATTCATATTTTTTTATTTCACTTCTCTCAAAAGAGCCATTTTAAATTCATATTTATTCTAAATTATTAATTATAAATTACTATTGCTTCTTAAGTTCAACTATCTTACTTCCTAATTATGTTATTTTAAATTATATTAATTTATTGTAAACTTTTATTAATTTTTTAAATCTCCCTAATTTATTAATAAACTTTTTCTCTCTTCTACTTATTATTTTGGAGAAGTGATCTCATTTAATTTATCCTATTTATCATCTATTTATTTTTCTAATAAGTTTTAAAAACAATCTTTTTAAATTTTTATATGTTATTCAAATTTCTTCACCTATAAATCTCATTTAATCAATTCTTAATTCTATGTTTAATTTTGCTTATTTTATTTAAAACCTTTTTAATCTCAAAATTCTTTTTCACAGATCTTGCAACAGATTCTAGATTAATTACTCGAAGATATTCTTTTTTTATAATCGAAATTGCTTCTTTAATAATTAACAGTTCAATATATAATCATATATTAATAGGTTTATTTTGTTTCATTTATTATTTTATATAAAAAAATATATATCAGTTCTCGGAATTACATCTTTTTTTTGGTTTTTCATTCATTTAACATAAATTAGATAGAGAAACGTTATACTTATGTTTAATCAGTTATTATTCTTTTTTGCCCTAAATGATAAATTATTTAAGTTTTTAAAAATTATTTTCTAAAGTAATTTGAGATTTAATCAAAAGTTCGTTTGTACTTTCCAATTCATTGATATATCTATTCATATTTTCCAACTTATTTTCTAATGCTTTATTTAACAATAATTCATCTTACAATTTTTTTTTACATTCATTTAGATCTTTCGAGAGTGTTTTATTTTAATCTGCAAAAGATGTAAGTTAAATTAATAATTTATTAGGACTCACATAGCCATTTTTATTTTATGGAGTCGATGCCTTGTTTTTTTAATAAAATTATTAATCCATTTGTAATACCATATCAAATTAAACTTGTTATTCTTCTTATTCTAACTACTTTTCAACTGTCAACTATTATATCTTTTATGCTTTGTCAAGATTTAATTTTGGAATAGGAATTTACAAATTTGGGTTAGTAGTAATTTTATCTGGCAAAATTTCACCAAAGCTTGATTCATTCAAATTTGGACTTTATTCTATAATTAATTTATTATTCTCTATTTTATCATTCTTAACTAGCTCTATTAACATTAAAAGCCTTTTAATTTCTTACTTTTACAATCTATTTTCCTCATAATATTAGGCTAACAGTTTACTCATCGATTCTAGTTAATTTTAATAGGTTAAATATTCTTCTTATATTGATATTGGCTTTTATAACAAAAATTTATACAATTTTAGTTCGAATTCTTTTTTTTTATAGTATACTTTATAATCTTTCATTTAATTCATTTACTTGTTTATCTTTATTAAGAAGTTAATTTTATAAGTCAACTAACTTAGATGATTTCTCACTTTGAATATCTAAGATTCTTTAAGAGTTTTCTATTCCTATTTATTATAAAAGTAAATTCTAACAATGATATAATCAAATAACCTATGATCTCAATTCATCCCTTTACTTTATTAAGTCTTCATTAAAAGAAAACAATTTACAATTTTCTTCGATCAAATGAGAGAGCATTTGAATTTCACCAATTTCATTATATTCAGTTTTACATACTTCCAAAGTAAATAATGGTTCATTGGTTAATGACTGATTTTTATTTAATAGTTGTTTACATTAGTGTTTGTTTGTTCTCTCTATATTTTTAGAATCTATTTATTCATTTAAATTATTTGTCTCAACTCTTTATTTTCTTCAGTCAGTATTTTGATTTCTTGCTGCAAAAAATTCAGTTTAGTATCGAAATTACTCATAAAAATAATTAATAAAAGAAAAATTTGTTAATTTTTTTAAATTCAAATGATTTCTTTTTAATACGAACAAAGATTTAGGACAAAAGTACATATAGAAATATTTTAATGATAATATTTTTATATTCTATTCCTTTAATATTTTCTAAGAGTTATTTAAGGATTTTATTTAAAGGAAAAACTTCATAAATAGTTTCTTGGGTTAAATTGTACTTGATTGAAAAATAATGAATTTATTTTGTGTATGTACTTGGAGAGATAAACCGAAACAATCCTAATTATGTTCAAATGATAAAAAAGTCAATGTAAAATGAATTAATTCAATACAGATTTTATGCCAATTTAGTGGATCCATATTATAATAAAAGTAAACTCATTCAGATCAAAAAAATTTGACCTTTTGGTAACTAAAAAGGAAAAATAATACAGTTGAGAAAAACTCTTCATCATAAATTCATACAACAAGAATTTAAACAAGGAGAAATTCTATTATTACCAGATATGAATCTTAAATTAAAATTGCAAGAAAATGCAGTTAAACAAACCAAAGTCAGATTTCTAATGTTTTAATAAATAAAAAATAATTTCAAGAAGATTATATTGATGAATATTCTAGACAAAGATTAAGTAGATTTTTATCAAATTAAGAAATCTCTAATATAATCCATAAAAGAAGTTTATCAAGATAAGATAATTAAATTTATGTTGAGGATGTTGAAAAAGAAACAGTAACAGCATATATAAAATCTATTCAAAACCAATAAATTAGATTTTAATTTCATTAATCAAATAAATAAATTTTGCCAGAAAAAAAATTAGAGAATCAAATAAATGATATTATTAATGTGAAATAATCAACCTTCAAATCTGTTTATTAATAAATATAGTATCTTACAAACTTGTAAAGGTAAAAAATAGTACCTATTACAAGTCATAAAATGCTTAAATAAAGAACTAAATTAATGAGTTGCACATATAAAATGAGGGAGAGATTCTTAAACATTTTAAAATAAGTTTTATTTGTAGCCAAATATATGTGCAGAGTTAATTTTTGGTTTGATTATCCAATCAAATATAATAATAAATTTTATGAATTAATTATAGAAGGAAATTATAATAGCATTATTTTGACTTTATAAGATGAACCATAACTTGTTCATAGTAGAAATAAAGATGGATAAACCCCATTGTATGTTGCTTGCATTTGTGATAATGCACTTTTGACAAAATTGTTCATCAAAAATTGCTGTAACATTGAAGCTTTAGATAATAAATAATTATCACCATTATATTATGCATTTAAAGCCAATTCTAATGATTGTTTTAAAGTAAATAAATTTTTTATTTTTATTATAGATCTTACTTCATTCTAAAGCTAAAACATGGTCCCCACCAGGAGCACCAGGAGGAAAAGTAGATAAAAATCAGATGAATGTTGCATAAAAAAATTTGTTGATGCATGCTCGCTTAATTTATATATTTACGATTTGGAAAATAAAAAAATGATAATATATATTTAAAATGAATTTTATCAAGGGTATATTCAATAAAGTTGTAGGAACTTAATAACCTTTAATTGAATAAGAGATATTTGATTTTGTAATTTTAGGAACATGCTTTAAATAAGATGAAGCTAAATTTACTAAATTGTAATTAAAATTACTATACTTAGATCATCTAATACAGAATTTGTATTCGACAAATTATCAAATGACGAATATGATCATATTCTAATTGTTAGATTGAATAGAGCCTCTAAGACTTATAGTAATGTAATTAGTTCAAAAGAAGGAGATTTATATTTTAATATTTCATTTTTTAAATCAATTCACCATTCATTATTAAATGATGATATAGAAGAGTTTAGTTTAGATTTGATGTATGATTTTTATTATTAATTTAGAGATATTTAAGGTATTAAATGGAGTTTGAGGATGCATTTTTTAAAGAATACAAAGTCAGACATTTTAAAAATTGAAAATTTTAAATTAAATTTGAGCAAGCTAATTTGGATTCATAAAAATAAGAAGGCTCTTCCAAAAAATTAAACTGAATTAAATAATTTGTTACCTACAAAATAACCTTCTAAATTAGAGATGCATAATTTAGTTTAATAGAAATAAATGAAAAAAACACTTAAAAAAGTGGATAGATCAATATTATCATAAGTAACAGAAAGAAATAGATAAGAAAAAGAAATTATTGGAGATGTTATCAATTATTTTTTGCAGCAAGATATTGATTCTATAAAATAAATTTATGCTGGAAAATTATATGTGCTTTATCCAGAATTAGCAGAAGTTAGACTCATAAATCCATTAGTTATAATGGCTTTAAATATTATATCTAAAACAGAGTGTAGAATGGAATTATATAATTAAGATAGACAATTACTTTTGATTTAATCTTTAAAAGACTTCATAAGTTTTGAAGTAGATAAAGATTAGAATTACTTGAGTTGGGTTTATTTTGATGGCTTAAATTCCATAGTAATATATTTCAAATTCGATATTTTGGATGGAGCCACATCTATGGGTTTTATTTTATAAAAGTCTAGAATTTTTATGAAATAAAAAAAAAATTTATAATTAGATACTTCCACATCTAGTTCATTTAGTTAAGTTTCAACTGCAACTACAATAAATTTAAATGAGATATAGGACTAATAAATTTAATAGAAAAAATAAAAAAAGTATAAATATTAAGATCATTTAAATACTCTAAAATAAGGTTTGAAAACAACGTCTACAAAAAAAATTATTCATAATGAAATTGATGATTTAATAATTTTAGAAGATAAAACGATATCATTAATTAAAAAAAATAAGTCATTTTAAATTAACTAAGAAATTATATTTGATAAAACATATTTTAGCAAAAGTTTGGAGAAATTAGTCCTCTATTAATAATTTTCATAAGAATTAAATCTAATAGACTTACAAACCGAAACATAAGAAATGATTAAATTAAATTTTTAGATTGCAGATGTTTGGCATCATGAAAAATAATTCATATTATTAAGCAATAAATCAGTTTATGTTCTTGACTAAGACAAAGCTATAAAAAAAAGTAATCTAAAAATTTTAATTATATATTAGTTTATGAAATTGATTAAAATTAGAAGGACAACTATATAATTGTGAGATGTTCAATAAGTGGATCTATAGTTATCGGAACATAATTAGGTCTCTTATGTGTATTTGATAATATTAAAACAATGAAATAAATCAATATATTTGAAGGATTAGGTGATTAGATTTAAGATATAGCACTAAGTTCAGATGAAAAGTAAAGATGTGTAATAAATTAGATTTATTATTATAAATAATTTCTAATATATTTAATACTAATAAATAGTAACAAATAATTAGAACGGTTATTAGTAAAAGTTAGATTTAAAACTATTTCCAATTAAAGTTTAATTAAATCCTGAAGATTTAATTTTAATGGGAATATTTAATTTTCCAAATTACTAGCATGTTAGAATAGATAAGAATAATAAAGTTATAGCAGCTTAACTGGAAAATTTACAGGTGATTTGGAATGTTGGATAAATAGTTAATCAGCAACAAAATTCTTATCAAGTATAAAAAAACAATAAATTAGATTTTTATTCTCCCTGAAGAAATTTTTGATTAATCATATAGAGAGGAAGATTTAATAATTCTTTCAGAATCAAATATATATATAAGAGAATGTGATTGATATAATTAAAAATATATAAATAACTGGCATTTACGACAATACTTAGCATACATAAATTAATAATATCAATCTGTAAAAAAATCATTTAAAACTTAATCTAAATTTTAATAATGCTTTTTAACATCTTCTTCTACTTTTTTAAGAACTTCTTTTTTATTTTCTACTTATTAGGTTTATTATTTTTAAGTTTAAGGTTATTATTTTTATTGTTGATTTTACTATTGTTATTAAGGCTGCTCAACTTTTTAAGGTACAACTATTATTTCAATCTTCCTTTTCTCGCTTGTGTCTTCATTTAAATATTAAGGTAACTTTAATCCTGGCATATTTATTCCAACTAAATGTGATAATGATCCTATAGGAAGTTAATTATTTTCTAATAGAGGAGCAGCGCTCTCTTCTTCCTGCACAAAATTTTCTTTAAAATCTATACTTTTTGCTAAAGTTCTATAAAGATCTCTAACTAATAGACTTGAATCAAATTTAGCCATAGTCATAATATATTAATGAAGCAATTCAATATGTTACTCTTAATGAAGGACTTATAGTTAATGACTAAGTAATAAAATCTATTCAAAATATTTAAAAAATATACTTCATATTTAACGTTTTCATGTTACTATTAAAAATTTAATGATAATTTTCTTAAGTTTTCTGCAGCAATTGTAGGTATTTAATCTATTTCTTATCTAAGAAGTTTTATAACAGTAGCTTTATATCTAATATCACTAATATCATCAATATTTTATAGACAAATTGCTAAAAGAGGCAATTTACTTTCTTGGGTACTAATTAAATTACAAAAAGAGGCTATTACATGATTTTTAGTATCAGAACTACCCGTTTTTAATATATCCAAAAGAGACTTAATTGTTCGTTTAATAAATTTTGGAAATTTAATAGTAGTTTTAGATAATAATTTGACAGCTACAGCTACCAATTAAGGTTAATTAGATCTGGCTTAATAAAGTAGTTCTTCTAAAATATTATTAAAGTTATTTTCATCTATCAATAAGGATAGAATTTCTAATTTAAGTAATTTACAATATAATTTTTCAATCTATAGTATAGTAAGTGCTCTATAATGTTCTTTCAAATATTATGGATATTAGAGAGCTAATTAATGTAACATTTAAAGAATTATAAATTTGGATTCAGATCCAATATTTAAAAATTTAACAACAGATCTAATTAGTTTCTTAATTCTTGATTCTTATGGGAATTATAGATATAATCTAGATATTGCTAAAACTATGCCTGGATAAGGTAATCTTAGAAGGATTTCACATGCATCCAATAATTTTATTAGATCCTTATCACCTTATTTGAAATACATGACACTATATTAATACAATATGTGTAGAGCTTTTTCCAAATCAAAATTATTAAAATTAAGTAAATCTTTGATGAGTTAAAAATAATATTTGTGTAATATTGAAAGATCTCCAGTCATTTTAAAAATTACATAAATAGCATATAATCTAGTCTAATGAGTATCTTTAAGTAGAAAATTGACAATATCATTGTAATCATCATGTTATACATCTTCATTACACATATCATGCATTTTAAGAATTGAAATTGCAACACTTCTTCTTACTAATGGATTTTTATCAGCTTAAATCTTTTTAATTGCTGTAAATAACATAGGTGTAAGTTCTTATATTCTCAAACTTGATAATGTTTTAAGAGCATTTAATTTTATTGATGTATTCAAATTAGTTAAATCCTTAAAAATTGGAGCTGTAGCTAAAATAAGAACATCTCCTTGAGATTTGCTTGTTCTTGCATTAGGTTAAGCTGCAAACTCACTAATCAAAATTTGGCATAATCTCTTTAATTCAAGATCTTCTCTAGGAAGTAAATTAATTATTCTTGAAATATAAAGAGTTAGATCCTTATTTTGCAAATATTGCTATATTTATAATATATATTTATACCCAATACAAAATTCTGATTGCTTCAACTAAATCTTCAGTGTATTTAGAATTGATGAGTTCAGCAAATTTATTATTTCTGCTTGAAGAGATGGACAGGGTACCATTTCCAAATGCTTTACCAATTTTATCTGGAAGCACAGAAAGCATAACACGTAAATTATATTATTTTTAATGTTGAAAAAATCAAAAATTAAATAAATACATATTATCAAATATCTAGGTTAAATTCTAATTGTTTGAAATGCTTCCTTGATTGTTTCAATAACACTAACTTATATATCTTTTGAATTATACAATCAACTTTTTTATTCCTGCAATAGAAAGACAATGTATAGCCATAACATGTTTTAAAATTAATATTAATATTGATTAAGAATTTATGAAAATTGGAAATATATTTGTCAATTCTCTCATTATAAATTATATAACTTAAAAAAATTCAAAATTACTTTATGATCAGATGGGAACCTATAGGAACACATATTTTTTTAGACAAATAAATAAAGAGGAACATAAAAACTCATTAAGGATTATCTAGTCTATCAGAAAAAAAACTAATTGTTAATAAATTATAA